GAGAGAGAGAGAGAGAGAGAGAGAGAGAGAGAGAGAGAGAGAGAGAGAGAGAGAGAGAGAGAGAGGTTACCCCCTACTCGTCCTACCGTCCTACCTATGACTCCTCTAACAATTTGCTGCCCTATGTACCTTGGACCACGACACTGGTTGGTGAAGGAGGTGGAGGTGGAAAAAGGTGTGAAGGTATTTGGCTATGGCGGATGGATGAAGGAGGTGGAGGTAGAAAAAGGTGTGAAGGTTCTTGATTATGGTGGATGGGTGAAGGAGGTGGAGGTGGAAGGAGTAAAGGTACTTGGATATGGCGGATGGGTGAAGGAGGTGGAGGTGGAAGAAGGTGTGAAGGTACTTGGTTATGGTGGACGAGTGGAGGGGGTGGAGGTGGAAGAAGGTGTGAAGGTACTTGGCTATGGAAGAAGGTGTGAAGATGCTCGACTACAGTGGATGGGTGAAGGAGGCGGAGGTGGACAAAGGTGTGAAGGTACTTCGCTATAGTGCATGGGTGAAGGAGGTGGAGGTGGAAGAAGGTGTGAAGGTGCTTGGCTATGACGAATGGGTGGAGGTGGAGGTGGAAGAAGATGTGAAGGTGCTTGGCTATGGCGAATGGGTGAAGGAGGTGGAGGTGGAAGAAGGTGTGAAGGTGCCTGACCATGGTGAATCGGTGAAGGAGGTGGAGGTGGAAGAAGGTGTGAAGGTACTTGGCTATGGTGGATCAGTGAAGGAGGCGGAGGTGGAAGAAGGTGTGAAGGTACTTGGCTATAGCGGATGCATGAAGGAGATGGAGGTGGAAGAAGGTGTGAAGGTGCTTGGCTATGGTGGATGGGTGAAGGCGGTGGAGGTGAAAGAAGGCGTGAAAGTGCTTGGCTGGTGGATGGGTGGAGGTGGCCGTGGAAGAAGGTGTGAAGGTACTTGGCTATGGTGGATGGGTGAAGGACGTGGAGGTGGAAGAAGGTGTGAAAGTGCTTGGCTATGGTGGATGGGCGAAGGAGGTGGAGGTGGAAGAAGGTGGGAAGGTACTTGGCTATGGTGGATGGGTGAAGGAGGTGGAGGTGGAAGAAGGTGCGAAGGAACTTGGCTATGGTGGATGGTGAAGGAGGTGGAGGTGGAAGAAGGTGTGAAGGTACTTGGCTATAGCGGATGGATGAAGGAAATGGAGATGGATGAAGGAGATGGAGATGGAGGAAGGTTTGAAGGTGCTTGGCTATGGTAGATGGGTGAAGGAGGTGGAGGTGGAAAAAGGTGTGAAGGTGCTTGGCTATGGCGGACGGGTGAAGGAGATGGAGGTGGAAGAAGTTGTGAAGGTGCTTGGCTATGGTGGATGGGTGAACGAGGTGGAGGAGGAAGAAGGCGGGAAGGTGCTTGGATATGGTGGTTCCTAAGCTTCCGGTTTTTCCCTACTTGTGTTGTCCCAACGTCCGAATCGTCAGAAAACTTAAGACTTGCGAAATTCAGACTTGTAGCAGACACTCGAGACTGCCAAAAACCCGGATTTGCGATTTTTCCGTTTTTGCCAACTTTGCTACGGGAGGGAGAACCGAAAAACGCAGATTTGCGTTTGGTGGCCTAAACGATGTCTGATATAGGCCCTTTGTCTACACCCTACTGACGACCCTCCCAAACTCTGGCCTGATTCCGTCGTCGTTTGCCCCTACTTGCCTGTTTCGAGCACCGCCCGAGGCTCTAAGTGAACAGTTCGAGGAATTCCATTTTCCATTTTTGCGGGAAAATGGACTCATATGGCCTGGTGGTTTTGCATACCATCTATATATGCCTAGGATATGGGACTGTTCAGTCTCAGCCCCCATATCCCCTTTTTGGCGGAGTTGGTTTTCAGCAGCCCGGGCCACACCGGCCCATTGGCCATTTCGGACCAGCCTTTGCCCCGAGGGTTGGACAACGGTTTTCTCAGCAGCAGCAGCAATCAAGGGTTTGGCCATGCGTCATCATCGACAACAACAGTCTCCTTATCAGCAGCAGCAGTAGTGGCAACAGCTACATTCCCCTATCCACTTCCCCTCCTTATCGCGTTCAAGTCGAGCACGGGGGGGGGCGGGGGTTAGAGTGTCATTCGAATAAAACACATGGGGGTGTGTTGTCACAGATACACAGTGTCTACTAAGTACTTAAACCACCAGTACCTCGCCCAGCTATAAAAAAAAGTTGCGGCCGTATACGCGCCGCAACTTTAGGGGGTTCGGCTAAGGCTTGGCATGGCAATGGGGTAGGGAGCTGGTGGCCCCATGGGAAGGGGGCAAAAGGACTGTACAATGTCCTGGTGGTGTGCTATGTGGAAACGCGTGGACACTGGAGGTGACGAGGAGAACAAAGAAGCAAAAGGTCACGTTAGAAAAAAGAAACAGAGTCGTTTTTCTTTTCCTTTTTTTTTTTTGGTTCCTTTTACTTGGAAGAAGATCCTTGGCTGTTTGTGCTCTCGGGATTCCAGGGCAAAGTGTAACGTTGCAACTTTCACAAATGCATCTGGCTTGACTTGCACACCGCTGTCAATGAACCTGAGGGCAATCACGTTCAGAGCCTGGTTTCCGATTTCCCCTTTTTTTTTTCTTTTTTTTTTATAGAAAGAGATCCTTGGTTGTTTCTGCCCTTGCTCCCCGTCAGACACGGGAAGCATTCATTGCCAGCCAGCCCTTCCTGCTTACAGGGCACAGTGTAAGGTTGCAACTTTCACGAATGTATCTGGCTTGACTTGCGCACCGCAGTCAATGAATCTGAGGGCAATCACGTCCAGAGCCTGGTTTTCGATTTCCCTATTTTTTTTTACTTTTTATTTTTTCGAAAAGAGATCCTTGGCTGTTTCTGCCCTTGCTCCCCGTCAGACACGGGGAGCATTCATTGTCAGGCAGCCCTTCCTGCTTACAGGGCACAGTGTAACGTTGCAACTTTCACGAATGTATCTGGCTTGACTTGCGCACCGCGGTCAATAAATCTGAGGGCAATCACGTCCAGAGCCTGGTTTTTTATTTCCCCTTTCTTTTTTTTTTCTTTTTCTTTTTTGGAAAGAGATCCTTGGCTGTTTCTGCCCTTGCTCCCCGTCAGACACGGGAGCATTCATTGCCAGCCAGCCCTTCCTGCTTACAGGGCACAGTGTAACGTTGCAACTTTCATGAACGTATCTGGCTCGACTTGCGCACCGCGGTCAACGAATCTAAGCGCAATCACGTTCAGAGACGGGTTTCCGATTTCCCTCTTTTTTTTATTTTTTTGGGGAAGAAGATCCTCGACTGAGTGGAAACAAGAAAGCAACGGCCCGTTTACGTTCCATCTGTTGGCAGCAGGTCCAGCATAAGGGGCGGTACCTGCTTGCAGCAAGAGATGTTCCGTATTTTTCCCACCCCCCCGCAGGCTCGGTGAAAATCGGTGCGCAGGGCACATTCAGGATCGGGCCTCCGCAACCGGTAGGTACTGGTGGTTTAAGGTCATATCAATCAGAATGAGCAAAGGCTGAAGTTGCGATTTATACCCAAATGAAAAGATTGACAGAACATAGAAGAAGAATGAGTGAAACTCACTCTCAAGCTAGGAACACAAAATGCAAAGTGGCGATCTACAATGCACTAAAGAAACAGACGAAGAACAAGAGTTGTGATCACTCACTCGCCCTTTATGTTTTGTCAATTTTTCCACTTGGGAGTAAATCGCGACTCATGTTCTTGTCCAATTCAGTGTTGTAGACTTCATACACTCTTGTTTTGTTCATTTCTTCAATCCATAGTAAATCACCGCTTTGCATTTTGTGTTTCCTAGCTTGGGAGTGAGTTTTACTCGCTCTCCCTGTCAATTTTTCCAATTGGGAGTAAATCACAACTCATATTCTTGTTCAATCTACTGTTGTTCATTCCTTCAATCCAAAGCAAATCGTCACTTTGTTTTTTGTGTTTCCTGGCTTGGGAGTAAATCGCAACTCTTGTTCTTGTTCAATCTAGTTTTTATGTCATCACATACTCTTGTTTTGAGCACTTCTTTAGTCCATTGTAAATCGCCACTTTTCTTTTTGTGTTTCGTAGCTTGGGAGTGAAAACATAGAGGGAGAGTGAGTGAAACTCACTTCCAAGCTGGAAACACAAAAAGCAAAGTGGCGATTTACAATGGACCGAAGAAATGGACAAAACAAGTGTGCATGAAGCCGACAACACAAGATTAAACAAGAATACGACTTGCGATTTATTCCCAAGTGGAAATATTGTCAAAACATAGAGGGAGAGTGAGTGAGACTCACTCCCAAGCTAGGAAACACAAAAAGCAAAGTGGCGATTTACAATGGATTGAAGAAATGGACAAAACAAGAGTGCATGAAGCCGACAACACAAGATTAAACAAGAATATGAGTTTCGATTTATTCCCAAGTGGAAAGATTGTCAAAACATAGAGGCAGAGTGAGTGAGACGCACTCCCAAGCCAGGAAACACAAAAAGCAAAGTGGTGATTTACAATGGACTGAAGAAATGGACAAAACAAGAGTATTTGATGACATCAACATTCTATTGAACAAGAATAATAGTTACAATTTGCCCCCAAGTGGAAAAATTGGCAAAACATAGACGGAGAGTGAGTGAAACTCACTCCCAAGCTAGGAAACACAAAATGCAAAGTGACGACTTACTATGGATTGAAACAATGGACAAAATAAAAGTGTATGAAGCCTACAACACCAGATTGAACAAAAATATGAGTTGCTGTTTACTCCCAAGCAGAAAGATTGACAAAACATAGAGGGAGAGTGAGTGAAACTCACTTCCATGCTATGAAATACAAAATGCAAAGTGGTGATTTACTACGGATTGAAGGAATGGACAAAACAAGAGTGCATGAAGCCTACAACACTAAGATTGCACAAAAATATGAGTTGCGATTTACTCCCACGTGAAAAGATTGACAAAACATAGAGGGAGAGTAGGTGAAACTCACTCCCAAGCTACGAAGCACAAAAAGAAAAGTGGTGATTTACAATGGACTAAAGAAATGGACAAAACAAGAGTATGTGATGACATAAAGACTAGATTGAACAAGAGTTGTGATTTACTCCCAAGCCAGGAAACACAAAAAGCAAAGTGACGATTTGCTTTGGATTGAAGGTATGAACAACACTAGATTGAACAAGAATATGAGTTGTGATTTACTCCCAAGTGGAAAAACTGTCAGGGAGAGTGAGTAAAACTCACTCCCAAGCTAGGAAACACAAAAATTTAAAGTGGTGATTTACTATGGATTGAAGCAATGAACAAAACAAGAGTGTATGAAGCCTACAACACTGAATTGGACAAGAACATGAGTCGTGAGTGAGTGAAACTCAAAGCTAGGAAACACAAAATGCAAAGTGACGATTTACTATGGATTGAAAAATGAACAACACATAAAGAGAGAGTAAGTGAAACTCACTCCCAAGTTAGAGAACACAAAATGCAAAGTGGCGATTTGCTATGGATTGAAGGAATGGACAAAACAAGAGTGCATGAAGCCTACAACACTAGATTGAACAAAAATATGAGTTGCGGTTTGCCCCCAAGTGGAAAAATGGACAAAACATAGAGGTAGAGTGGGTGAAACTCAATTCCAAGCTAGGAAACACAAAATGCAAAGTGGCGATTTACTCTGGACTGAAAAAATAAACATAACAAAAGTGTATGAAGCCTACAACACTAGATTGAACAAATATGAGTTGCGATTTACTCCCAAGTGAAAAAATTGACAAAATGTAAAGGCCGAGTGAATGAAACTCACTCCCAAGTTAGGAAACACAAAATGCAAAGTGGCGATTTACTATGGATTAAAGGAATGGACAAAACAAGAGTGCATGAAGCCTACAACACTAGATTGAACAAGAATATGAGTCGCGATTTACTCCCAAGTGAAAAGATCAACAAAACATAGAGGGAAAATGCGTGAAACTCACTCCCAAGCTAGGCAACACAAAATGCGAAGTGCTGATTTATCGTGGATTGAAAAAATTGACAGGATGGGGAAAATCTCTAATGGAGGAACTACCTAGTACCCTCCCCGTGCTAGTTAAGTTAGTTATGGAGAGAAAGAGAGAGGAGGAGAGAGGAGAGTAATTAGATGAAAAAATATGAAGCATAGTTGGGAGAAGAAGAAGGAGAAAAAAAAAAAAAAAAAAAAGAATTAGAAGAAGAAGAAGAAGAGAGAGACATAAAAAAAGAAGAGGAGGAAGAAGAAAAAGAAGAAGAAAAAGAAAAAGAAAAAGAAGCTTCTCACTCACCTCCTCTAGTATCTTGAGATGGAGATTCGAATC